AAAGAGGAAGACCCCCAATGAGATGGATCAGCCAGGTGGCATCATTGATGGACTCAAGTGTGGCAGCGGTAGTTAGGTTGGCCCCAGATCGGACATTGTTTCGTTCTGCTGTGCATGGGGTCGCTATGAGTCGGTTCCGACTCGATGGCACCTGACAACAACAACAACAACATGGATTTCTGGGGATGCGCTGTAGGATCAGCACTGGACTGCGAACCACAGGCCAGCAGTTCAAAAGCACCAGATGCTCCTCAGAAACCCTACACAGTGTCTCCATGAATGGTAACTGACGGCACCTAACAACAACGAGTGTTCAGATAAAGACTGTTCTTAGTTAAATCACAAAAGCAAACTACAAAGAATACAGATAACATCAACATTCCCCAATAACTGAAATTTAACTTACCAAAAGTTTTTTGCTTGGAACTGATGGCTTTCTATGCATGCAATAATTGTCTGCTGTCCATCTATTTTTTTACCATAAACCTTGTTGGCAAAAGAAAACAAGCACAAGAGTGAATTTAGGGTTACAGAGTGTCCAATTTCAAATATGTATAAGCTATTGAAAATTACACAGCACTGTGGCAAGAACACATAAAATAATACAAAGTAGGGTCATTCTAATACATGAGCTAAAAAACCAATACTCAAATATGTACAGTTAACTGTAGATTCAAAAGTGGATCGGAGAACAGCTACAATTAATAAAGCATAATTTATTGAATAAAAATAATTATATTCTAAAATACTCATAAAATCCTCGATATGTCATGCTTTCCATTCCAAAACACAGATTATCTTAAGTAATATAAACAATTTATTGTTCTATACAAAATAAGTGGACCTAGATTATGGTTTTCATTTTTGTTCAATTCACAATATTTGGATTCTTATTTCTCTAGTCATTCAAAACAGTATTGGGATAGTCATCAGAAACATCAGAAAGGTCTTTAAGCAAATGTCTATGATATATGAAAATGTTATTTCAACTCTTGCTTACGGCTTTAATACTAGTGTCTCTCAATTCTTTAAGAACACTCTAATGTAACCTAAACACCTGACTTTGTTGAGTTATTCTTATGAAACAATCCAAATCAACAAAGTTATACTTCAAAGAACTCAAAAGATCCTTTCTCAAATAATCACTGAGAGCTAGCTATTATGAGGATGATATGAATTTCTGTCTTAAGCAAGAAACTTCTGGGAACAAAATTTGGTACAACTGGACATATTAACAATGAAGATGGAATAGCATAAAGAAATCAGAATGTTATGAGTCATTTTAGGATGGAAAGGTAAGCAGAGGTCAGGTCCACAGGGACTGCAGGCCACATCCAAAATTCTGGATTCACCCTGAAGTGTAATGTGACCTCTCTAAAGGTTCCACGAAGATTTTCATGAACTGAGAGTCATTTCAGGTCACTCTGCTATGGGAAAGACATATAACATAAATAAACTGCAAAACTAATAGGCCTAGCTGAGTACAAATAATCTATTAAAATGAAAAGACTCCTACTTTCTATCTCACTTCATCTTGAAAATGTAAAAATAGGCTAACCCGTTGAAAGAACCATGTTAAAACAAAAAAGGAAATTTGGCAATTAAACACTTAAGAACATGATTCTACTTCTAAATGACTTTTATTTGTTCTAAGATTTCTCAAATAAAAGGGATTTTTATCTAAATTTACTGAGATGAGCCATGAACATGAGATTAAAGACTCTTCTGATCCTCTAATCAGTACATTAGAATTCCTATGGATCTAATCCAAGATGCAGCCATTTTTCCATCTTACACTATCTTAAAATATTGATTTACTCTTTACAATTTCTTGGGGGAAAAAGTAAACAATGTTCCATATAAACTCAGAGGAGAGACAAGTAATGTTATAAAATATCAGTTCTGTAAATTAACATAAACTTCAGAAGCTCATAAAAACATTGTTACATTTTTATAAACACTAAAGAAGGTGAACATGGGTGACTTACAGTGCAAACCCCATTTGGGTAATGTTCTTTTACATAAGCACGTAGAGCAGTTTCTACTGAAGTTCTCCATGACTCAATTGCATTTTCTGCTTCATAGGGTCTTGGATCGGTGGCTTCCTTTCTTAGGTGATCAAATTTGAAACAGATTCTGTTTTTTGGATCCAAAAACTTTCCATTTCCCATGTCACCATGTTCTGTTATCAATACCTTCAATGATGAAATGGATTTGGGGGTAAAAAAAAGGCATTTAAAATAGCACGCAAGTGCTAACATAAACATATATTAATATATACTTATGTAAGCATTTTCCATAAAATTGTAAAATAATCCTATTCCAAACATTAGATTTAACTATACTGGTACAATGATAGGTATTCAAATGGGTTGACTATGAAGAAAAATGAGACTCTTTATCATTCAACGTACAATTTTCTCCCAACATAACTTCCAGATAGTGAAAAAAACACATCCTTTAAAGCACTGCTTGAGTTCTTGTATTATTTTTTTTAACACTGAGAATAATAAACAGTTTATCACTTCTGCTATCAGTCCCCAGTTACTGAAATCTTAAAAAACTGGTATTAACCTTTAGCCAGGATGGTTACAAGAACAATTTTGATTCACTGAGACTCCTCTTCAGTGTTTCATTACTCTTGGGTCCATAATCAGTTCTCCTGGCCCTATTCTGACAACGTTTTAGCTGTTAGATGCTGTAGAATCAGTTCTGACTCAGCAACTCTATGCACTATAGGATGAAACACAACCCAGTCCTGTGTCACCCTCACAATTGTTGCTATGTTTGAGCTTACTGCTGCTGCCACTGTGTCAATGCCTCTTGTAGGGGTCTTCCTCATTTTCACTGACCCCCTACCTAACACGATGCCCTTTGTCCTTTTCCAGGGACTGATTCCTCCTGAAGTAAGAGAGATGAAGTCTCGCCATCCTGCTTCTAAGGAGCATTCTGGCTACAATTCTTCCAACACAGATTTGTTTGTTCTTCTGGCAGTTTATGGTCCTTTCAAAATTCTTCTCCAACACCATAACTCATCTAAAGCTACTGAAAACCCCATGGCTTGGGTTAGTAAATACCATAGTCCTCAAATGACATATCTGCTCTTCAACACTTGAATTTTGTGTGCAGACCTGCCTAAAGCAATATGTAGTTTGATTTCTTGACTGCTGTTGATCGTGGATGCAAGCAAAGTCAAGTTTTTAACTTCAGTTTTTCTCCATATATATCATGATGTTATTTATTAGCCCAGTGGTGAGGGTTTTTGTTTTCTTTATATTGAGCTGCAGTCCATACTGAAGGCTGTGGTCTTTGATATTTGTCATTATTTTAAGTCTTTACTTTCAGCAAGAAAGGCTCTATCATCTGCATCACAGGTTGTTAATGAGTCTTCCTCCAATTCTGATGCCACATTTTTTTTTTTTTAAATAAGTTTTTATTGTGAGGTTTACATGGAAGAATATCAGTTTTACATTCATCCTATCGTATTTCAATTCATTGCAATGATCTCAATCACCTCATGCATCATCAAATAACCAGAGGGTACACCCCACAGGTCCGTCCCCCAGCCGTCAGCACACAGCCCCTTCTCCCTCCCTGGGTCTAAAGTCCCCAGCCGCCCCCTCTCCCCATGTCATTGTCTTGGTCTCCATCCCTGGTGTCTCTGCCTCTCTGGGTAGGGTCCCACTCTCGGCTCTTCTCACTTGATGGTCCCAGGGACCTCTGCTCCTGGGCTGCAAAATCAATCACTAGCCTCCTTTTGTCAAAAAACATCTACCTCTATATTTCCTAGCCTCACAGTCAGTCCTGATGGCAATTATTCACTATTGTACAACAAGAGTCTAATCCCCATTTCCTTTCACCAGCCCAGTCCCAACAGACTGGAAATCATTCAGTGGAGATTCTACCTTCCCCCGCTCTGTCTGGAACTAGGCTCCCTCTTGAAAACTTGTAAGCCAGTCACTTCTTGCCTTTATAGGCACCCCCATTTTGGGTAGCCAATGTCTAAGTTGCCCATCCTGTCAATTCTGTGTACCGAGGGGGTGGGAGTGTTTCTCACTGTAAAGATTTGTTCCCTTTTTTGAGCTAATACATCGTAAGTATAGGTTAAGTTCATCAAACTGTAGCAGGTTACCTTCCCCCCCGACCCCTTCTTTCTTTTTCTAGTCAAGTTCTGATCATCCAGCCATCAAAGCCAGGTCAAGTGGGTACTATCTGCAAGTATGGGTGTTCTTGTGCATCTCCTCTCACTTCTTATCAGCTGGATGCGTCACTCTCTGCTCTGGTCCTCTGTGGCCATGTCACTGCCTATGGGCCCAGAAGTCCCTAGGTCTTGCCGTACTACTAGCCTTCCAGTTCTCCACCCAGGTTCACAGGGATCTATTGAATGTTGTTTAGGTTTGGTTCCCACTTTCTTTTTTTCCCCCCCCATACTCTTCCTCTTATTGGTGATCAACGTGATCACCGCTAGACCACCTGTCTGCTCATGTATTCCCCTTGAGTCTCAGTCTTGGAAGGGAGTTTGCTCTGAGGGGTCCTAGCCACTTGTTTTGATGGCACCTGGGTGAACAGCTTATTTGTTCTTGTAGTAATCAATCCAACTGCCGTTACTGTTTCAGATTTTTCCTGCTGGTCTTTCTTTCATGAAGTATCTTCTGTTCTTCTGGCTGCTCCAGGCTGGACTACTCGTTCTTTGCAGTAGAAATTTCCTACCTCAGACGATTCTGGATGGGGTTCTGGATTCCACCTATGGTCCTGTGAAATGTAAAGGCTCCACAGGAAGCCTCTTTCACTGGGCAAGTTCTAGCCCCCTTTAAGGTATTCCAATCAGTTATAGGCTGAAGACAGACTTACAAGCTTTCTGTAGTAATGATTCTGGTTATTCCTTTCTCGCTCCCTCTAGTGTCTATTTACAATGGTAAACAAGGAAAACCAAGATTCAAAAGACAGCCAAGTGATGCCACAATCCTCATGTAATTTTCTTCTTCAAATATTTGTCCATAGGATGTAATTTTTTCCCTAAATTTTTAGTCATTTTACTAATTTTAAATCCATCTAAAATTTATTTCTGTATATTGTGTAAGACAAAAGGTCTAACTTTACTGTGTCCTTGAAAGCCAGTTGTGACAATGATTATTAAATAGTTGTTAAGTTGTTTAATTCCGTCAAGTTGGTTCTGACTCACAGCGACCCTGTATAAAGGTTTCCGAGGAGTGGCTGGTGAGTTTGAAGTGCCGATCTAGAGGTCCAGGTACATTATCCTGCAGTACCACACCAGGACTCCTATTATATAGTTGTTGTTGTTAAGTGCCGTCAAGTCAGGTTTCGACCCACAGCAAACCTGTAGAAGGTTTCCGAGGAGCTTGAGCTTGAACCGCCGACCTTGCAGTTCAAACAGCTTTACAGTCTGGTGCATTAACCCACAGTGCCACACCAGAACTCCTATTATATAGTATGTATGCCTAAATTACAACTGTCATTTATAAAGCTTTTCATATAAACCTTTTCACAATTCTAGTTCTCTATGCTTGGAATTCTGTAGGATAAGCACTGGACAGCTAACTGAAAGGTATCGGTTCAAATGCACCAGCTGCTCCTCATAAACACTTTACAGGGTTGTTATGAGTGAGAATCGACTCAACGGCACTTAACATGCCTGTTTTATGGATCTTTTGTCTATATAATATCACACTGACTTTACTACACTGGATGTAAAGTAGCTCCTGCTATTATTTGTTCATTTCAAACTTGTATTCTTTTACGTAAACTTTTAATTTTGACAACTTGAAAAAAAAAAATATATATATATATACACTAGGGTTCTAAATTAGACTGCATTAAATTCACATATTAATTTAAAAATATTTTTTGTAGCCTTTCTAAGCATAAATATGGTGTGTCTCTTCATTGTTCAGATACTACTTTGTGTTTCAATAGAATTCAGTTTCTTCACAATCCTATGCCTTTCCTTTTAAGCTTATCCTGAAGTTAATGTATCCCTTTCATTACTATTTTAAATGGTATTCTCCCCATTTTTGGTTTTAGGTACTTGCTGCAGTAGAAGAAAGCTAATGAATTTTATATACTTTCAAATTTAGACATCTTAAAAATTTTTCTATCAAGCCTAGTATTTTGTGTATGTGCACTTGGGGGGGGAGGGAGGATAGTTTTATGAGTCTCTTGGTATGTCACCAAAGTTTCCTCTTCTTTTCTAATACTTCATAAGTTTCCATTTTCTGGTCTTATTTGCTACATGTCCATTTATAATAAATAATAATGGTGAAAGGCATATTAGAGTAATTTTTTATTTTAACTAAAAAATTGTTTTAATGTTTGTAGTTGGATATTTACTATTTGTTTAAGAGATTTTTCTTCTATACCTATTTACTTAGGGTTTTTGTTTTCATTTTGGACTTTCACCATCTAATACATACAATTTTTTCCTCTTTGGTTTGTGGGTTAATAGATAGATTACATTATTCAACTTAAAA